TTCTCAATAGTAGGTGAAATGATTTTAGCATCCAATGATTGTCCTTGCTTGAACCAGTTAATTCGTTGAGAGTTACACAATGCTGTTTTTTCTATTTTTGCTTTCCCTTTTATGTTTAGTAGGCATTCTTCTTAAAAGTTTTCTCTCGTCAACAGTTTTCTACTGAAAAGGCAACATAATTCTTTCCCTTAGTTAGTTTTTTCCCTTTAATTACCAATTTTCAATGGAAAGAGTTGTTGCAATGGCCTGCTCCACTGGTGACGAGAAAGTCTCTCTATTTCACTTTCAAGTCATAGATTTCTTTATTAAATGTGTTATAAGCAATTTTAGTCATTGTTCTTTTTGATTCTTAATTTATCTCAGGTTTGACTGTTAGAACCCTTGTCTTTAGCTTCTGTGATATTTTTACACTTTCATTAGTCTTTGAGTGATGCCTTTCTTATTCAGAACAAATTGTCTCAGATTCACCTTGCAATTTGCCTGTTCCCGGACTAGAATCAACCATTCTCAAGACGCCCTGTTTCATTTAAATGGGGATAGACGAAATGATATTTATAAGCCAATATCTTCATTCTAGGTGTGGAATACTGCAGCTGGGGTAGTGTGACTTCTGTGTCCTTTGAGCAGACACAACTAGCAAGTATGTTTCTGGGTGTGGGTGTTTATATCAAGAATCATATTGACATTTCTAACTGAAAGTTAATATTAATTAATGTCTTCTTTCTTTAACTGTGAAATATTTCCTTTTAATAATATTAACATATTTACATTTTATTTGTAATAGTTTCAAAATTATAATATCAGTAGTACCTGTAACAATAAATAAATACATAATAAATGAAGATGGTACAGGACCAGGCAAGGTTTTGTTCTTTTGTATATAAGGGCACCATAAATCGGAGTCAACTCAATAACAACATGAAGCATATAGCACAGTGGAGCAGGATGAAGGCACTGAGTTATAAAAACAGTAAGATAGTATCAGATTGTTTAAGTGCTATGAAGTGAAATTATAGATTTCTATGAAAGAGATGTTTGGCCAAACGGATGCAGCACTGGAGGTGCTCACTGACGGGTCTATGCCAAGAAATTTGGAAGACAGCTAACAGGCCAGCCAACTGGAAGAGACTTACATTTGCCCCATTCCAAAGAAAGATCACCCAACAGAATGCAGAAATTATTGAACAATATCATTAATATCATACACAAGTAAAATTTTGCTGAAGATCATTCAAAAATGGTTGAGTAGTACGTCAACAGGGCCCTGCCAGAAATTCAAACTGGTTTCAGAAGAGAACGTGGAACAGGGGATATCATTGCTGATGTCAGATGGGTCTTGGCTGAAAGCAGAGAACAGCAGAAAGATGTTAGTACCTGTGTTTTATTGATTATGCAAAGGCATTCGACTGTGTGAATCATAACAAATTATGGGTAACATTGTGAAGAATGGGAATTCAGGAGCACTTAATTGTGCTCACGGGGAAACTAACTGTACATAGTCCAAGAGACAGTCCTTCTAATAGAACGAGGGAATACTGTGTGGTTTAAAATCCAAAAAGGTGTCAGGGTTGTATCCTTTCACCATATTTATTCAATCTGTATTCTGAGCAAATAACCTGAGAAGCTGGACTATATGAAGAAGAACGCAGCATCAGGATTGGAGACTCATTAACAACCTGCAATATGCAGATGACACAACCTTTCTTGCTGAAAATGAAGAGGACTTGAAGCACTTATGGACGAACACCAAAGACTACGGCCTTCAGTATGGAGTACACCTCAACATAAAGAAAACAAAACGCCTCACAAGTGGACCAATAAGCAACATCATGACAAAAGGAGAAAATATTGAAGTGGTCAAAGATTTCATTTTACTTATAGCCAGTCAATGGACATGGAAGCAGCAGTCAAGAAACCAAACAACATATTGCATTGGGCAAATCTGCTACAAAAGACCTGCTTCAAGTGTTAAAAAGCAAAGATGTCACTTTGAGGACTAATCTGTGCCTGACCCAAGCCATGGTGTTTTCAATCACCTCATATGCATGTGAAAGCTGGACAATGAATAAGGAAGACCAAAGAAGAACTGATGCATTTGAATTATGGTGTTGGTGAAGAATGTTGAATATACCATGGACTGCCAGAAGAATGAACAAATCTGTCTTGGAAGAGGTACAGCCAGAATGCTCCTTAGAAACAAGGATGGTGAGACTTCGTCTCACAGACTTTGGACATGTTATCAGAAGGGACCAGTCCTGGAGAAGGATATGCTTGGTAAAACAGAACGTCAGCAAAAAAGAAGACCCTTAACAAGATGGATTGACACAGTGACTGCAACAATGGGCTCAAACCTAGCAATGACTGTGAGGATGTGCAGTACCGGACTGCATTTCGTTCTGTTGTGCACAGGGTCTCTTTGAATCGGGACCAACTCGAAGGCACCTAATAACAACAGAAATCCTGGTGGCGTAGTCGTTAAGAGCTACATCTGCTAACCAAAAAAAGGTTGACAGTTCTACTCTACCAGGCACTCCTTGGAAACCATATGGGGCAGTTCTACTCTGTCCTATAGGGTCGCTATAAGTCGGAATCTATGGCAGCAGGTCTGGTTTTTTCGTTAACAACAGCAACATGAAAGAGTATAACAAGGTTACCTAATTTTACTCAGGCAACAGTAAGAAACTTTTATGAAAGTGACATTTTAGCTGAAAACTAATGTCACTGAACAATTTGTGTAGAAATTGTCAAATGGGAACCTAATTTGCTGTCTAAACTTTCACAAAAAACACAATAAAATATTATTTTAAAAAAATGAAAGTTTTTTTTAATGTTTTTCCAGTTATTCTTTAGGTCTCAGTGTGAACCATTTATTGAGTTTGGCCCATGTGGATGTCTGAAGAGAAAAAAATGCTTTCAGATTGAGAAGAGGTAGAGGCTGCCTTTCTAGACCTCAACAAGGACCTGTGTTGGGGAAAATTAAAGCATTTTTGTCTAGCTGCAATAGGGGCTTTTAACTGGGTATTAAAACCATTCCAATCTCCAGATAAAATATTCTTAAATTATTGTAATCTATAGGTCACTATGAGTCGGAATTGACTCGACAGCAATGAGTTATGGGTGGTATATCCCAAACTACTAAATAAAAATGACTGAACACCTACTGTGACCTGATAAAGAAAAAAATTGACCATGATTGTTTATGGAATAACAATATGGAATGCTCACTAAGTTGAAGAATGAAAAGAAATGAGGTGGGAAATTCTAGACTGTATTCCAGTTTTTCTCAGAGAATCACTCCACATCACTGAAATCTCCCCACATACTGAGACAGGGCCAGTGGCTCTTTGGGACATACAGATGCTGCAGTCTGAAGATAGGAACATAACCCTCACATGGAGGAAAGAAGTTCTGCCTTAAGATAAGCAAGTCATTTTGCAAAAATTCGAAAGGTAATATGGAATCATGGATGAATTCATGACTATTTCTGTTGACAGAAGCCATGCCAGAGTCATATACATTGTAGGTAATCAGGTTGTGCCTCTATTCAACATATCCTCAACTTCTTACTTTAGCTGAAAACAATGATACAAAAGATAATTTAGAAAGCCCTTTGTCAGAGAAGATGTAAAGGCACACTGCAGTCACTAAAAATTGCCCTTTCAGAAATGGAGCTTGTGATCAATGTATAGACAAAGGTTATTTAAAATGATATTTAAGTCTCTGTGCAAATGCTCCTTATAACTGAAACCTTCTTTGACCACCCTATTTAAAATTGAAGACTCTCACTCAACACGCACTCATCCACTAACACTCTTCACGCACCTTCCCTGCTTTATTTTCCTTCTTTATATTTATCACTATTTTATACATTACACTTTTTTTTTCCTTATAGAAGGGGGTGGAGGGAGGATAAGATACACCAATAATAATTATTACTAGCATATATGCAAAGCCAACTTATGAAATAAAATAGCATTTAAAAATTGCCAAATAGGAATTCCCATTTAAACACTTGAGATACAAGCATTTACGGGCTTGTGCAAGACTTATTTTTCCATGTAGCATGGGACCCAGACAGACCATTATATTCACAGAGATAGCAAGTCCAAAGAGTAGGAAGCAGTGTACACCATGAACCAATAACATACAGGAGAAATTCAGTTTTCTTTTCTTCTGTTTCCTTTAAAATTCGTTATAATGGGCATCGTATTAACTTATAGCTTTATAGGTAAGGTGTCCTCCTGCTGTCTGAATATAAAGATGAGGATGTCATTGATCTATTTTAAGTATAGGATGCTTTTTAAGCTTTTTTTTTTTTAACCAATTAGTAAAACTTTAACTACTTTCATTTCTCTTCTGATATTAAAAAAAAATTGCTGGACACCATCCAGTTCTTTTGGTCTCATGGCAAAAGAGGCAGTTGTTCATGGAGACAATTAGCCACACATTCCGTATCCTTCGTTGGTCACTTGCAAGCTTTTAGGATCCCAGGCACTAGGCAATAAACTAAGAGGTAGAATAGAATCACTCAACATGTTATTAGGTCAATTAACTGGGACGTCCCATGACACCATGACCCTAAACCTCCAAACCAAGAAATTAAATCCCAGAATGTTTCGGTTATACATAAACAGCCTCAGCAGCTACTTTTTTTTTTTTTTTTTTTTTGTCATAGTTGTTTACATAACTATCACACAACCTTTACAAACTCAACTTTTAACAGGTATACAACTTATTTACAGCAATTACAGTAATTGGCTGTGCAACTCTACCCTTCATCAGTGTGATACTTCCATCACTGTTAACCCCCCATCCTTGGTACTTTACTATAAAAACATTTGTGATCTTTGTAGTCAAGTTGTTTAGCTGTTTCTTTGACTGTTTTAATGGAAGCAAATGATATTGACCTTAGCTTGATTTTAAAAGTGCTGCACCATCGCACAGGGGGCTGCCACAGAGACCTGCGTGTTTGCTGAGAGATGCTTTTGCTTCCTTTCCAGGACCAGTGGTTTTGGCGAGTGAGAAACAACAGGGTGATGGATGGATACCCCATGCAAATTACTTACTTCTGGAGGGGGCTGCCTCCTAGTATTGATGCAGTTTATGAAAACAGTGATGGGAATTTTGTTTTCTTTAAAGGTAAGAATGTTTCCCATGTCTTGCTTTGTTGTTATTTTGGTCGTTTTGAGCAAGTTCCTGCAATACACATAGAAATTGAGAATTAAAACCTATTGAGTGAAGTTAGGTAGCTAGTGGATTTTATGACATAAAACATATCTGTTGATTCACAATATAAAATTAAGTGAAATCAAGGATAAATTTTAATTCTCTAGTTTATGGTTTTTTGTATTGTAGTCTTCTTTACAAGTCAGTTTTGGAAGGCATTCTGTTTCACTTCTTATTTTTATATATAATTCCTTAAACTTTATTTTATTTAATCAGTATATATTTAATAATTTTCAATAAGCTAAGCAATTTCCTACAAGGAGCAAAGTAAACGTATGAGTAGAAAAATTCACCTAAATATCAGTATCATGAAATTTATTAAACTTGTTATTTATCTGTGTGCCTCATGTTCAAAAGTGAGATTACCTGGTAAAGAAAATTTAGTCAAGTGCTTGGCACCTATCCTCAACACTTGCTAATATTTAAAACAATAAAACTTAAATCCGTGGGATAAAATACAAGGAAAAGAGACAGATTGAGTTGGAGAATTGAGGCAATTGTGAGGAGAACATATTTGACCTAAAGCTGAGAACTAGAGTACAGAAAGAATACGACTGAAAGTATTACTCAAGAGCCTGTGGGACTAAAAATAAACTTAAACAAGGATGGAGGTTGAGGGAAGGAAAAGGATATCTTAACCAAAAGAAGCAATTATTCTGGGGACCAGAATAAAAGAAATGGTAGAAATGAGGAGGGTCATGAAAACCAGGGGGTCTGGAAAACACATGTAACTATTTAATTGAGGCCCAACCTACCTATATAAAATGAAATGGTATACCTGGAATTTATATTATCTTTATAGACTGCACCTTGAGATAAGAGGCAGTACAGTACAGTGGTTATAAGAACAATATGACTAGAGATAGTCATATTGCTAACTCTGAATACTAGCTGTATGTACTGGGCAAGTTACTCAGTTCTCTTTGCCTCGGTTTCACCATCTGGAAATGGGGTTAGTACAGCCCCATCTTGAGATTATTTTGTTTCTGAATTAATTACTACATATAAAGTGTATGGCACATGTAAGCCCTCCGTTAATGCCAACTATTGCTGCTGCCTTTGTGACTACTGTTAATATTATTGCCTTCCAGCTATCTATAGTGAGCATATAAATGAAGTGGACTTGCACTGTATCACTGGGGACGAAGCAAGCACACCAGCTAAAGGTTGTGGATCTTAGGGGCACAAATGTGGAAGGGAATTCCCTTCCCTGGCACCCTTCTTTGGCTCCATGAGCCAGAGAAAGAGGTGAAGGACAAGCTCTGAGGTAGCCCTGGGTTTGAGTGCTGTCCCAGGGGCTCTGTCTCATCATAGGATCAGTAGTGCTCTCTGACAAAACTGCCTGAGGAGAAATTGCCACAGTCACAAATCAGTATTCTGACAGCTCTTTACTGCCTCGGGGCCTTCTCACTTTTATTCCCTTTGCCTCTCCTAGCTCCTGAAATGGCTAGCTCCTTCTCATCTTTCAGCAGTCAGCATGAGAGGCACCTCCTAGATGCCCTCCCGGGCCAGTCTGTTTAAAGTAGTGCCCTCCAAGTTGCACACAGCACTTGTAAAAATTTGAAATTACCCACAGCATTAGAATGCAAAACCTATGAAAGATTAATTTTGTTTATATTTTCTTGTGCACCCCTCAACACTCATTTCAGTAAAAAGGAATAAAGTCAATATGGTTGAACACTAATTTGACTCAATATGATGTTTCTTATGTTCTTATGATCCTAACAACAGGAATAACTGTCTCTTGTCACATATGTATTTTCTGGAATTTACTAGAATTTCTAGAATGTTTTGCTAGTCAGTGGCCTCTTTTGACACATAGCGAGTATCAGGAAATGTCTAAGAAGTTTTGTTACTCAAAGGACCCTGCTCTGGAGCTTCCTTCCTCCAGTTTACTCTCCACAGTACCTCAAAATCCAGCTATGAACATGTAGCTACACTGATACAAATGCCACTGCTTATCCAGATGGAATCAGTGCTCTGGGTACTCCCAGTAAGAGCACCCCTTTCCCTAATTTCCAGCTCACCACTGTCAGGAGAGAAGTTAAGAACCTCAGAGCTCTGGGCTTCTGGTGAGACCCCCACCTCCCTTCTCTACCCCCAACACAACAGTCACAATCAAAATTACTGTCTCTGCCTTCACACCATCTATTTAAGGCCTGTATCTCCTTGAAAGCAACCCTGTTGGTGCAGTGGTTAAGAGCTCAGCTGCTCAGCTGCTAACGAAAAGGTATGCAGTTCGAATCCACCAGTCACTCTTTGGAAACCCTGTGGGGCTGTTCTACTCTGTCCTATAGGATCGCTATGAGTCAGAATCAACTGGATGGCAGCAGGTTTGGGTGTTTGTTTATCACCTCAAAAAGTATAGGATACCTACATCATTCCTTATCCCAAAGCTGCATACCCCCTCCCCACCCCCTTTTTGCTCTGTGGAACATGAGACAATCTATACCTCCTTTCTACCTGTCCAAACCTCATTCTCTGCTTTAATTTTCTACAAACCATCTGACAGATTACACAATTCACTTATTTATTGTTTATGTGTATCCTTCCCACTAGAATATCGGCAAGAAATTTGTCCTTTTTTTTTTTTTTTTCTGTCTCTGTTATTATATTCCTTATCACTTAAACCAGCAGTTGGCAAACATTTTCTATAAAGGACCAAATAAATAGTAAATATCTTAGGCTTTGCAAACCATATGATCTCTGTTACATATCCTTTTTTTTTTAACCCTTTGAAAAATGTAAAAACTGCTCTTAGATCATGGGCTATACAAAAATAGGTCATGGGTAGTAGTTTGCTGATCTCTGCTGTAATACTGGGAACACAGTAAACCCTCAACAAAGATTTATTAAATGAATGCAGAGTGAAGTTCAACCACCAATATCAGTATTTACACCCCTAAACAAGTTGATCTCAGCTTATCCCAGCCAGATTGAACCACTGCTACTGATGGATTTAATCATTCCTGATAAAAACTGTCCACAAACTAGGAATAAAAAGGGATCTTCACAACCTAATAAAAGGCATCTAGAAAAACCTACATATTTAATGGTGAAAAGTGAATGCTTTGCCCCTAAGGAACAAGATAAGGATGTCCACACTCACCAATTCTATTAAACATTTTACTAGTGGTTCTATCTAGAGTGAAATTAAGGTCAGAAATAGAAATAAAATGCATCCAGATTGGAAGGGAGAAATAATACTGTATTTCTTCACAGAGAACATGATTGTCTAGGTAGAAAATCAGATACCATCTACAAAAAAGCTCTAGAATTTATAAGTCAGTTTAGCAAGGTTGCAGGATACAAGATCAATATACAAAAGCTAATTGTATTTCTGTACATTTTCAGGAACTGTGAAGAGTGTAAGATTTTACCCTATTTCTAAGCTCATAAATTAGCCTGCCTGATTTTCATTGATGTTGGCAGAAGACATGAGACACTTGAGACAGACAAAGGAGACAAAAGCAGTAGTGATTCTATAGGCAGTTGTGCTGGTTATCTGAGCCCCAATTCCCAAAGACTGACGCAGAGAGCAGGTGGCACCTGTGCATACAATGAGTTACATTACAGGAGAAGAACCTCAAGCTTAGATATCCTAAGTCTTTTATAATGGGCAATAAGCATGTGTGACTTTTTCCCCCCAAAGGTAGATATTTTCTTTATTATACCGAACAGTAAACAAACCTTCCCTTTGCTGAGCAGGGAGACACTATCTCTGTAATCCAAGATTATTTGCTATACAAATGTCCTTGGAAAGATAGTCCAGAATAAAGATAGTGCCTCTGTCCACAAGACATGCTGAAAATCAGGAGATCTGTAGAGACTTGTCTCCCATCATATACTGGCAATAAACAAGAATTGATTTAAAAAATATACCAATTACAATAGCATCCAAAAAATATCAAGTACTTAGGTATCAATCTGTAAAATAGGTATATAACTGTACTCTGAAAATTACAAATCACTGGTTAAAGGCAGTAAAGAAAACTTAAATTAATGGACAAATATGCCTTATTCATGGGTTAGTGAACTCAATATTGTTAAGATGTTATCTTTCCTTAAATTGATCTGTACAGTCAATGCAGTCTCAATCAAAATCCCAACAGGCATTTTTGCAGTACTTTTGACAAGCTGATTCTAAATTTCAAAGGCAAATGTAAGGACCTACTATAGACAAAATCTCTTTGAAAACATTACTTGATTTCAAGTCTTATTAGAAAGCTACAGTAATGAAAACAGAATGTCACTGGCATAAAGATAGAGAAATAGATCAATGAACAGAATAGAAAGTCCAGAAATAAACTCAAAATAGATATGCACAACTAATTTTTGACAGAGGTGCAAAGGAAATTCAGTGGAGAAAGGATGGTCTTTTCAACAAGTGTGCTGGAACAACTAGATAGCCACATGCAAAAACAAACAAAAAACTCCAATCCATATTTGGCAACATCTGCAGAAATTAACTCAAAATGGTCCTAACCTAAATTTCAGAACTAAAATTATAAAACTTGTAAAAAAAATAGAATATCTTTATGACTTTGGTTTAGGCCAAAAAGAAAAATATTAGATACAATGCCAAAATCACAATCCATAAAAGAAAAATAGATGCATGAGACTTCATTAAAATTAAAAAGTTCTCTTCAAAAGAGAGTTTTAAAAGAATAAAAAGACAAGTCATGGACTAGGGGGGGAAATTTCAAACTATATATGATGAAGGATTTGTATCCAGAATATATAAGGAACTCTCAAAACTCAATAAAAAGAAAACAAACTACCAAATAAAAAATGACAAAAGGTTTGAACAGAAACTTCACCAAGGAAGATAATATAGATGACAAGTAAGTACATGAAAAGATGGTTAATGTCACTAGACTTTAGGGAAATGTAAATTAAAACCACAGTATTAG